TTTTTAATATAAAATTAGTTACTTTTAGTGTTTTGTTTTGGTGTGTGTGTGTGTGTGTGTGTGTAGTTTTCTTATAAATACAGTGACTGTTGAGATCAGAGGCATCAGATCCTCTGGAGCTAGAGTTACAGGTAGTTGTAAGGTTGCCCAGTGAGGTTCTGGGAACTGAACTCAGATACTCTGAAAGAGCAGTATGCACTCTGAACCACCGAGCCATTCTCCAGCCCTGAGAGGGTAGATGTGAGATGTTAAGATTATTTTTATGAGGGGAGACATCTGTCATACTCTGACAAGGAGGGGAGAAAAGACAGGACAGGAATCTCTTTGTTTATGTCTACGGGAAAATGAAAAGTGAGTGGCCAGAGGGGGCAGCGACGTGAAATTGAAAGTGATTTGACATCTGAGTGCTTTCCCATGTAGCAGAGCAGGTACTGATAGCAATGACAAAAGCCACACAGCGTTAGTCACTACCCCGTGTTCCCAGCCAAGCGCCCATAGAATGTATTTACTTCAGGCACCCATCACCTATGCGTGTGTGTATGTGTGTGTGTGTGTGTGCGTGTGTGTGTGTGAGAGAGAGAGAGAGAGAGAGAGAGAAATCATAATAACAACACAAAATATCATTCTATACATGTATAGACTTAAGTCCTTTTATGAGCAATTCCCCCAACCCCCCCACTGCTCCTAAACAATAACTTTTATTTTCAAGACAGGGTTTCTGGGAACTGTCCTGAAACTCACTCTATAGACCTCGAACTCAGAGATCTGCCTGCCTCTGCCTCCCAAGTGCTGGGATTGAAGGCATGTGCCACCACCTCCTGGCTCTAAAACTAATAATAAAATCTACCCCCTTGGGGCTCAGAGGTTCAGAGTGTATAATGCTCTTTTAAAGGACCTGAGTTCTGTTCCTAGAACCAACACTGGGAAGTTCACAACCACCTATAACTTCAGTTTCACAGATTTGATGCCTGTGGTCTCCACAGGCACCTGCATTCATGTGAGAACACGCGCGCGCGCGCGCGCACACACACACACACACACACACACACACTAAAAACAAGTAGTTTTAAAATTGTCTTTTAAAAAAGCCTCTCCTGTCAGCATCTTGATTGCCACCTCATGATTCCCAATCTTAGGCAAAGGCAAGAGCAAGAATTGAGTGCTGGAGAGGCCCTAAAGATCTATAACAAGGTTGTCCTATCCTATGAGTGAGGGTCAGACCTTGTGACATGGTGGGGTGGGCTAATGTGGGTTGAAATTAGCTTAAATCCAGCATCCTTCCTTTCCCTTGTGACCTAACCTTGCTAGGCTTCATTTCCCATAAAGGGAGAATAAATGGGAAGCAATACCCCTGGCAGGACTGTTTGGAGGGTGAAATGGGGTAAGAAACGTAAACATGTTGACTCCACATAGGTGTTCCAAGGGTAGGGGTGAGCCTTTCCCTGGTGGCTCCTTCGGATTCTTCAAAGAAAGGTACTGATTCCAGCTCAAAAGCCCTGCTCATACAGAGAGGATGCTGGGGCAAAGGGAAGATGCTGAGGAAGGCAGTAAGTAGCTAAGGGCACAGCAACTACCATCTGTTGTTCCTTCTTTCCGACTTCAAATAAGGACACTCTCAGACAGCTGGCCAATGTCAATGGAAAACAGAACAAGATCACTGGGGGGGGGGGGGGGGGGCGGGGGGTCCTGGCCTTGTTCTTGGGCTAAGCAGGCCACCTGGCACGGCACAACAAAGTCTCCCCTTGTCCACACAAGTCAGCAGGTGTGCAGAAAACACGAGGTCAGCATCTGTATGCACCGGGAGAGAGGTTGAAAGGATGAGGCATTTTGGCACCCCGCACACACCAGGACCCTCTCTGTATCTGTGAAGGCCTCTATCAAAGAAGCTGGCTTCTTGATGCCCAGAACCACCTCTCAGCCTCAGTCCGTGGGATCACATTCCTGGGATAAGACACTCTCCCATCCCTGAGAAGACTGACCCTTCGCCACCCAGCCTTCATAGCGCCCCACAATGGTGCCTGTGGCAGCCAAACTAACTGATGAAGTTGGGTCAGAAGGTTTATAGCGATTTGGGAACAGCCAGTTAACAGCTCAGAAGAGGCTGGGCTCATAGCCCTTCCTTTAGGGAGCCACATTTTTTTAAGATTAGTATTCCTTGGACTGGTTCCTTAACTACTTAGCATCCTCTCCCCTATGCGTGGGACAGTTCTCTCCTTCGGTGGGAATTCTCAGTACGAGTCGAGCCTCCCTTCCCGCCTTCCTTCCACCATGTGCAGATATCCCAAAAGCGTGGCCTAGGGACTGAAAAGTCAAATGCAGAACTCAGCTCAGAGCTGTGGCTGGGGGCCCTAGTCGTAGGGAAGGAGACGGAAAGGAAAGGAAAGGAAAGGAAAGGAAAGGAAAGGAAAGGAAAGG